ATCAATGCACTAGGATCAGCTAAAATATGATACTCCGAAATACTAGCAAATAAAGCTGCGAAACGAAATCAAAACAGGATTTTCTTTAGCACATTGTAAAGAAGACCTTGTAAAGCGGCACACAGAGTCTACATTTCTATAAAGTTCGGTGTCACGTAGAAAATAGAACTATTTGTCACTAAATAAGAACTGTTGTATGTCAGTCTTGAGACCGCGTGGGACATGACTTGTGAAATTTGAGATACCATTGCCTTGTACTAAGTTTGTAGTTTAGTTTTGACGCTGACTTTGAATGGGACAATTATTATGAAACCAAATTATAAAAGCCTACTTATGATACGTCAAAAATAGAGACATTATTGTCACGTAACCTATGGCAAGTACCGATGTGACGTTTATGTATAGGTACGTAGTTTCTAAAATTAAATTAGACGCTTTATACAAACAGTGAAAGAAAACATCATAACAAACTCTTATATTTCTAATTAATAATTTTGGAATCGCTAACCCACCTTCAGCAAGCGTGGTGATTAATGCTCGTACCTCCTCCGTGTGAAAGGAGGCCCTTTCTCAGTAGTGGCACTCCTTTGAGCTAATAACACAAAATTAAAACTGGGTCAGTGTTAACTAAAATATTGGCCGGCAATTAAGCAAACAGATTACTAGATAGTAAAAAATTTACTAATTAAGTTACCAAAATGTTGCTGGCTTTTTAAGGATTGCGGTACATAAATCACCTGATGGTAAGGAATCGGCGTCGCCCATGGACACAGGGAACACTAGAGGCGTTACAAATAAGTGCCTTATTGGCTTTTTGGGGATTAGGAATTTGAGGATTGTTGGGAATTCAGGGATTGGAGAGATTTTAATTGAGCCTCCGCCTACCTCACTCACACGAAAAAACACAACGCAGGTGTTTTCTGTGAGGCTGTGGTATCACTCCGGTCGAGCTGGCCGATTCGTGCCGAAGTATGGCTCTCCTACACAAGACCATTCGTCTTGGGTATTGAGTACCTCAATTAGTCCATCAAGCATGGTAAACGCTTTCTTAGGAGAGGACTTTATTTTTTTATTTATTAATGAACGAACCTTAGCTGATAATGTAACAGAACAAATGATGCCTTGGGTGCCCAAAAGCTAAACAATAAAAGTTGTTTAATGAACGCCATTCTCAAGTAAAAGGGAGCGAGCCGATAAATAATATAGGGCTCGTACACAAAAGTGCGATGTGATGCAAAATCGCATTTTGGGAAGATAAGATTTTGATACGCGAAGCAATTCATTTGTCAAGTTCTTAAGATGCGTAGATCCCAGCTTGACAATTTTTCGGTTTTGTGTACGGGCCCATAAACAGAATAAATTTCATGCTTAATAATAAGGTAACCGAGCATAGATTTCTACTCTACCATATTTTTGAACGCGTTCAATCGAAAAACGAAATCATCAAAATTGGAAACTAGAGACCACGACCTCCATCATTCAAGAAGTAGGTATCAATCAAAAAACAACAGTTTTATTATGAAAACAACTGCCTCGTTGGCCGTGTGGTCGCAAGGTCGACTGCCAGCAAGGGGTCTAGGGTTCGATTCCCGAGTCCAGTAAAGTACTACTGGGTTTTTAAAAAGAAATCTCAGTAGTTGAGTAGAATAAATTGTGCCCGATATATGGCCATAGGCTCGCCCTCGCCCCCTATTACGTGGGAATCATAACATAAATAGTAAAAAGTGGGTGTTACATGGAACAGTAGCATTAAGTTCCTTAATATGCATCTCCACCTACCCCTTCGGGGATAAAAGCCGTGATGTTATGTTATTATGAAAACAATAAAAATACCACATAGGTAACACACCAATAAAACCAACTTCAATTAACTTTTTTGATTGAAACATATTGGAAATAGGTATCAACCGTGTAATAACTTCACCTTGAAAATGTGAATATTACTACAAGTTCACCATAATCCTAAAAATAGGACGTAAATTATATAACGTCAACATTATGTCAACATTTATATTACAGTAATTGGTACGCAAAAATAATAAAAATAACCAGTAATAAGAACTGAGTAAACGTATACTACTGAATAATATTAATAAATAATTGTGTCAATTTCGAATTAAAACAACATAGTTAATTACCTATGTTTATGATATAATACAATAACAAACGAATTGATGTACCAAGCTCGAGAGCGATGATATACTAAAAAGAAGAAAATAAAATCTTGAAATAATTGCAGTGAAATAAATAAAATATACAATATACATAACTAAAATCAGTTTAATATCAAAATGAGTCACAATATATTCAATATAACAACGATATTACTATTTGTCTAATAATAATCATGTCATGTATTGTGAAGTATAAAATATCAGAGTATGTAATATAATAAATAGAGAGATAAAGAAAATGAGATGTAATAAATTTAAAATGAGTGTATCTAAAATAAGTACAATTTTGTTCATACTTCCATTAACTACAAAGGGTGAGTACACACTTTCGCGACACTTTAAACAGAGGATATACGGATAGAATTGCAGGTGCAACTCGCGTGTCGCTTGCGAGCTGCTCGCGAGCTGCGCGCGGACAGTTCTGGCAATGGTCTAGTTCGCCTCTTTATTGAAACTCACGCAAAGCTCGTATCCTTACTATATAATATTATAAATCTGAAAGTGAGTTTGTTTGTTTGTTTGTTTGTTCCACTATCACGCCGTAACTACTAAACCGATTGCTTTGAATTTTTGCAGACGTAAAGTTAGAAGTCCGGATTAAATAATAGGGTACTTTTTTATCCCGGAAAGATTTGATATTCCCGAGGGTAAAAAAAGTATTGGTATAGATGGCGCTGTGTGTATTGGTATATGTCACATAGGCTACTTTCTATCCTTTTGTGACGCGAGCGAAGTCGCGGGTAAAAGCTAGTAAATAATAATTTTAAATGCAAGCGCAGTTCGCAAACGGCTCGCAAGCTGCACATTCGCCTGATGTGAACGCTTCTTAAGGTTTCTTCTCTCAGTTACACTTATGACAGCGCAACTAATGAGTTAAAGGACATAAGTATTTAACAATATATTAGTTACTAGCTTCTGCCAGCGGCTTCGCCCGCGATTCCAGGGGTAAAATGCCTATGTATCACTTCAGACCATAATCTACCTCTGTTCCGAATTTCATTCCGGTCCCTTCAGTCGTTTTAATATGACTGAGTAACAAACATACACATAAACTCACATATTTTCATTTATAATATCGAGTCACGCTAATTTCAACAATTGGCCTTTCAGTTACAGCGTAAAGTCTATGAATGAGTATTGTAAACGTTAGAGTAGACAAATACAATCAGAAATCACCGAATTGCTAAGCTATCGGGAGTTTCACGTGTTATTGTGAGTCAACCATAAAAGATAGACATGTGCTGTCGAGGAATATTTTTTATATAATTTTAAGGAGAATATTTCCGTCATACATGATTTCTATGCAGCTTTAACCTATAAGCATGCACACGCGACGGAAGTTTAAAAAATGGAGTAACTTCTCCCGTTTTCCCAATATTTCCCTTCACTGCTCTGCTCCTATTGATCGTAGCGTAGTGAAAAGTATACTATAACCTGCCCAAGAGTATGAAGAATAATTGTGCCAAATTTCGTTAAAATCCATCGAGTAGTTTTTGTTTCCATAACGAACATACAGACAGACAGACAGACAGACAAAAATTTTACTGATTGCATTTTTGGCATCAGTAGCGATCCCTAACCACCCCTTGATAGTTATTTTTTAAATATATTTTATGTACAGAATTTACCTCTCTACAGATTTATTATAAGTATAGATTGTCGTACCTTTAAAAAATAATATCTTGCCAGGCTTTTTGTTCCCAGATGGGGTACACACGTTGTTATGGTTATAAATTCCTTGTATTAGGTATTTAGGGAACAGAGAGTATAGTTCCCTAAGATCGGAAAAGGAGGATCCTCCGACCAGGCGAGGTGATCGTGCCTGGCGGGCTTTCTGCCCAACAGTTGTTCGTTGGGATTTTCTATCCGTGTTTATTCGCTTGTAAACTTTGCATGTGCGATGTAGGATTCTTGTGACGTCATCCGTTGACATGTGGCATGCGTCGCCACATCACTCCCTCCCAAGACCGGAGGTCGATCCCGCTGAGACGGCTGTCGATGCTGGAGATGAGCGGTGCCAGAGCCAGTGTAGAAAGTCCCTAGTTCCAGTGAGTCGGAACTGTGCCGCTGAGTGCCCAGTGAGTCGGGTGAGCGGTGCAGGGTTAAATTCCAGTGAGTCGGAGAGATGAGCTCGCAGTGTCCCACGGTGAGTCGGGGAAGAGATGCTGCGAGGGTAGGTGCGTAGTGGCTGGCGTCTGCGTTGACGGGAGGAGATGTCCTTCAGAACCGTGTGCAGAAGAGCTGTGCTTAGACGCTGGTGAGGCCGTAGGGAAGAACCAGGCTGCACGCCTTCGTTGCAGGCGATGGTGGTCCCTGATGAGGCCGAGGATGCTGGTTGGCTGCGACTTGATTACCGCTCAGCGGAGAAGTGATGAATGAGAGGGATGGCGATACGGATGACGGTGCTAATCTGCACCGTGAAGTGAAGGTTGTTTCCAATCACGTCGGGATCACCACTTTAGGGAACAGAGAGTATAGTTCCCTAAGATCGGAAAAGGAGGATCCTCCGACCAGGCGAGGTGATCGTGCCTGGCGAGCTTTCTGCCCAACAGTCGTTTGTTGGGATTTTCTATCCGTGTTTATTCGCTTGTAAACTTTGCATGTGCGATGTAGGATTCTTGTGACGTCATCCATTGACATGTGGCATGCGTCACCACAGGTAAATCCTCAACATTGGACACCAAACTCAACATAGGACTTTGTGTTCTTGAGTATTTTTCGAAAAACCACTCAAATCGATCTTTGACTGCACGAACGGCGCAGTGGCTGGCCAACTGGTTGCCACGCAACGTGTTCCACAAATTTTTGGGCCTGAATCTCACGTGTATGCGAAATTGTACGTTTTTAAAAGCTCCCACGACACAGGAGAAAATTCTAGTATGGAGCAACCTTAAAAAATATCACACTTTTATTAAATCTTCAAAATTTTTGTACTTAGTATTTGTACAATGCGAAGAAAGTGCTTCTAAGATTGCTATTACGACTAAAAGTATTGTGACCCCATACAAGACGTCAACAAAGTTGCCAACAAAGTCGCCTAAGATGTCAACGATTGGGAAGATCCTACGCGAAGGTCACAGGTAACATGTCAGGTTTTAAAGACTTAGAACTTGTTCCACTACGTTTTTTTATACGTAAGAGCCCTATAATATTATGTGGCAGTTAGTACACAGAACTTACGTTCTTAATTTAAAATCTGGTAAAAGTATAGAAGCACTCTTTCGGATTACCAGTACCTATGCATAATAGGGTAGATGCCTAATTTTTATTTAAAGTAATGTACCAGACGGACATTAAAATAAAAATTAGTCATCTACCCTATTGTATCATTCCGGTCGAGGCGGCTCATTGGCGGCAAAGAATGCCTCTCCCGATCTTAAATTGACTAATTGATGATGGTAACATACTTGAGTAAAATTCTAGAAGTTTAAAACCACGTTTGGGGTTCATAGCCATGAGTTGCTTAAAATAGCAGGCAAGGATCGATATTGCGGAATGAATCTTCTTAAAAGTCTTTTTTAAATATTTACAGCATGACGTGGCCGAAGACAAAAAAATATACTGGACGAACGGCGCCATTCCGAGACACACTCCCTGATCAATGTGATTTCATAATAAAATATTGTCACAAGACATATGCGTAAGTAGAATTTTGATTTGAACTTGTGTTTTATTTTTTGTCGAATGTAAGAGTACGAAAATTATATAAGTTATATAATATTCGTCTCCTATCGACTCTTGAAAATTCATTGATGAACTATGGCCTTAAACTCGTGATAATAATATTCATTACATCACGCCTTTTATCCCCGAAGGGGTAGGCAGAGGAGCACATTATGCTACGGCACTTAATGCCACTGTATAATGTAACACCCACTTTTCACTATTTATGTTATGAGTCCCATGTAATAGGGGGTGAGCCTATTGCCATATACCGGGCACAATTCCAGACTCCGTCCGCTTTTTTTAAAAATACCCAGTACCCAGAGACCCCTTGCCCGGCAGTCGCGCTTGCGGCCACTCGGCCAATGAAGCAGTTGTGAAAATGTTGAAATAATTCTACGCATATGGAGATCACAACTTGAAATATTCCGGTTCACGTTAGATGGCGCTGTTGCCTGGTGCAGTTGAGTGTTATCACTCTATTTATATACAAGGTGTAGTTTTGAAGCCGTGGCATTTATCGGGGGCATGCCACAGAAGTCATGAAGGTTCAATGTAAGAGAAAATTTCAAGCCAATAGTTAAAAATACGGCTATAATAAATCGTTTAAGTTCGTATTTCAGAATAAGCGACAGCAATGTTTCTTATTTGAGTTTTATGGAATTGAGAATAATAATATCAACTACGTGTTTGAGTTTGTGTGTGTTAAGCCGCGTTATAAAGCCAGTTACAAGACGGCGGCGTGTACTTCGCACTTACGGATTTCCGTGATTTGAGAAAAATGAAATTATTTACCTACATATTTTTTATTGATTCGGATTCAGAATCGATACCCTAGTTACCTCCTAGAAAATGACGCGGCTTTTAAACAACACCTTGTGTATTCCACCCCACAGTCACGACGTGGCTTGACAAGGGACGGAATATGTAATCATTATATACCTCACCATTTTTTTAATAACATGTTTTCTAACGTGTAGCTGCCGCGCAACGTATCGCGGGTTCGATTCCCGCCCGGAACAACTCTTTGTGTGATCCACAGATTGTTGTCCCGGATCTGTGTATAATGTGTATGTGAACTTGTATGTTTGTAAACGCAGCCGCGACACAGGAGAAAATCGTAGTGTGGGGCAACGTTTTCTTAAAATAAAACTAAGCAGTTGAACCCGAGACGTCTTTCTTTGTAGGAGGACTCTCTGTCTCACTACTTTGTGTATTTGTGAACGCACTAACGATAAAGGGTAAAGATATCATCTCAAACAGCTCTTGAGATAATAGAACAAATCCTTCATAAGTATATGCAATGATGTTGTCTGTTTCTAATTTCAATAATTTCATTTAAGAACTTCGGCTATATGTGCGAGAAGTTTACAATATGAATATCAAACATTCAAAAACTACTGCATGTTAGATTTTGTCAACTGCAGGGAAGGACATGAAAGTAAGTATTTGTATTTTTCTATTTTATAAGACAAACTAAAGAATTTGAAAAACACGCCTTGGTTGCGCCTACGTAACTCGACATTATCACATTGCGCATACGCTGTTCGTGAATATGCGTCCCAATATAACTAGAAATTAGTTGAATTATTCTAGAATTGAGCAATGATTATACAAAAAATACAAAAATACAAAATAGTTTATTAATAGTTTATTAGTTAACGTGTTTGGAGCCCCATTTAAGCAAACAATGCCTGTATTAAGAACGATTAAACCGAAAAGAGTATGATTAAACCGTATATTTAATTTAACCCTGATTGGTTCCATTTTTAGAAAAAATCTGCACCTAATATTTTTTTATAGTATTAGCCGATAAACGAGCAGACGGATCACCTGATGGTAAGCAATCGGCGCCGCCCATGGACATCCGAAACACCACAAGTGTTATAAGTTCGTTACCGGCCTTTTTCGGATTAGGAATTAGAAGAATGGTGGGGATTTGGTGATTGGGGAGATTTGGACCTCCAACGCAAGTATTGTTTGGCGTCGGTTTTCTCTGAGGCCGTGGTATCGTCCCTGTCAATTATATAAATATCAATTTATTTATTTATTTTACAGTTTGGCAAATATTACATATGGGTAAATGTTACACAATAGAAAATCTATCACCAGCGCGTGAGTATAATAAATGCATTATACAATATTTAACAGTCATTTAGACCCCTATGTCACTCGAATGTCATCGTCACGCGATCAAAAATCTTCTATCGCTTATACCACAGGGAGTGCTCTGGGGTTGTTTGGTTTGATACCTGCCGCGTCTTTTCACGACCTTCATGACAGCATATCCATCACCATGATACAGATGGTTGGCACACAACAACTGTGCGCTTCTCACGTAGATTTCTGCCTCGCACAGCAAAATTGTGGAATGATTTGTCGTCGGAGGTATTTCCGAACCGATACGACCTTCAAGCCAAGAAAAGAGTGTAATCCTTTATTAAAAGGCCAGCAACGCACCTGAGACTCCTCTGGTGTTGCAGGTGTCATTGGGCGGTGCTGATTGCTTACAATCAGGTGATCAGTCTGCTCTTATTACATTTATTCCATAAAAATAAATGTAATAGGTTTTTTCTTGCTTTTTTGGATACTAGCAAAACCTCCTCCAGGTCTCACTCGTTTCTCTACTCCTATTAATCGTAGCGTGATGTTTTATTATGTACTTTATGTCACTTCATCCCTGCAACTATCTTCACCTAAAAATCACGTCAATTCGTCACTCTTTTCTTTGCATAAGCCTGTAAATGAGCATACGGATCACTTGATGGTAAGCAATCGGCGCAGCCCATTGACACTCTAAACACCAAGGCGTTACAAGTGCGTTACCGGCCTTTTGGGAATTGGGAATTTGAGGATGTGGAGAATTCGAGGATTCGGGAGACGGGGTATATTCGGTAACCTCACTCACACGACGAAACACTACGCAAACGTTGTTTCACGTCGGTTTTCTGTGAGGCCATTGTATCATTCCGGTCGAGCCGACCCATTCGTGTCGAAGCATGACTCTCCCACCCTTTGCCTGTCACCCGTGCTCGCCGCCAGTTTGGAGATAAACTGCCTATATAATATTTTAGTGCTCAAATTGTAATAACTTTAGGACGTCGTACCTCCGAAGATACTAGCATTTGACCATATGTGTGTTCGCAACTATTGTTCCTTTTAAAAAACCCTATCCAATGATGTATCAAGTGTTACTTTTGAGGGGTAGGTCCAAATTCCATCCATTTAGTTCGCATGTAGAGCTGATTTTTCATTCATCAGTTACTAATTCTTAACTGTAGAATAAAACTGACAGTTGTTTTTATTATGGAAGTATTGTCAAATATTGAATGTTATTCCTCAGTTAAAATTTAACTAGCTTTGAAAAATCGGCCCTTTAGTAATTATAACCTTTTACCCACAATGTATTGAGACTAGCCCCCATAATAACAAATGGTAGTCATGAAAAAAGCTTTCTAACAACATAAGTCTGGTCGTTATTGGTCGGTAGGTACATTTTCCATACATGTTTGCCCGTCATCCTTTCGTACGTGTCTATTAACTTCGTCAAGTTTACGAATGTTTATATCAGCCTGTCTATTGGACTAATAAAGTTATCCATCTCTATACTAGACATATCTACGGTATCTGTAATAGGGTAGTTTCCTAAATTTTATTTTTATGTCCATCTGGTACATTAATTTAAAACTTTAGACACGTATTTTTCTTTTCTCACTAAATAAATACTTTCGACGATATATTAACTTGAAATATCGCGTGACGTCACAGAGTGCTACATTTTGTAGCACGTTATGACGTAACGACTTCTAAACTTACCACCATTTTATCTAAGTATTGCAACATAATACGAGAAAATAAAAAATACGTGTCTAATATTTTTTCATTATCTAACTGACGGACTAATTAGATTTTTAATTTTAGCACCCTGGCACCTGAATTTGGGTATTTGGTAGTATTAGTTAATTTAGTTAATTAATTTTATTCATTTAGTTTAATTTTCTTGTTTTTCAGAATTCATATATTCAGGGGACTCATTCCTTTCAAATGATTATGTGGTAGACAGACATACATTCAAACTGCATGAGATGCCACGTTACATTCAAATAAGGGACCAGTGAAACCCTCACAATATCTACAAGGCATTGTTTGATGCATGTTGTACAAAATATTGATCGATATGTTGAATGTTACCGCAGAGGTTGTTAAGCGAGATCTGTTTACATGTGAATATATATATATATATATTTTGTATATGTATATGTAATATAGCATATTCGCGTTTTTTTATTTTTTTAAGGGGGGAAATCATCGAATGTCTGCTCCCGCCTGGGTGAGGCGGGAAGGAGTGTCAGACTCTTACTGACTAAAAACCACCCCTTTCCTGCGCTTCGAGCTCGAGCCGGAGCCCCGGTAACCCGTTAGGTTCTCCGCAATTTCGAATCGGCATCAGCCCTATTGAGCCCCATATTCGCGTTAAGAATAAATAAAAAAAAAAAAATATTTTCTAGAAATGTACAGTTTCGCTTAAAGCTATATAAAGTTCACAATATAAGGTGCCTGAACTAGGAAATCCTGTGTTTCAGGCGAGGTTAGGTAATAGTAATAAACATTGTTATATAATCACTAGTACTTAAATGCTAATAAGTTAAGGTAAATTATGACAATATTTAGTTATATTTATGCATACTGATATTTATTTATTTATTTATTTATTTATATAAAACCTTACCTAAACTATCATTACAGGTTTCTCCATTGCGATAGCTAGGCCTTACAAAAATGAACAAATTCTTGGCTAAACTAAACTCAATAATCGAAAATACAAATAAAAAAGAAATTTGGCAACACAAAGAAAAAATAAACAAAAACAATTACTTATTTAAATTTAAAAATTAAAAAAATCTACATATTATACAACATACTTAACCTCTAGTAGGTATAACAAGTACAATATTCCTAAAACATAACATTAATCTATTACAAATATTATAATACCTAAATGAGATCATACACGTTAACGAGATCAAAGATGCACTACTTACTACATAAAAATTAACAAACATACAGTAAAAGTAAAGTTAAAATAAGTTAATAATAATTTTAACTAACCTATGAGTAGCATAATATGTACAACGTGACTTTTACAAATTCACTCACACCGCAACTCAACACATCTACTCTTTCATAAACTTCGTTCAAGACATTTATGGCTCTAGTGAGGGGAGCCTTTGCCAACAAGTTGGTTCTGGCCGCAGGCACAGCGACGAGAGGCGGGCGTCTCCGCCTCCACACATACCGGTCCGGTACACACAGTTGCAGGTGTCGCAGCACTCCCGGATTATGCGCTACGCCGCGCAGCAGCTTCACCACATACGCTACCAGCGCAAAGTCCCTCCGCACCCTTAGCTCGTTGTACCCTACCATACCTAGAACAAATAGAGTAGGGTACATCAGGGGGTAAAATGGTAAACTCCATAAAGTTTGAAATACAAGTGCCTTGTAAATTTATTTTGAACGCGTTCCAACATGATATAAAGTATTATAGAATTAAGCATAAAATTTAAGTAAATTTCTATGCTTAATATGTATATAAGAGTATGTATGTAGTATATAAATAAGAGATTAGGAGCTTAGTTTAAGTATTATTTAGAAACTAATAATAACTTCTCTGTGTCTTCATAGGACATTTCTTGAAGGGCTTCCTTTAGAATTTTCTTACAGTTACGGATGCTATGGGGGTAAATTCATAACGTTGCATTTAGTCTATTGTATAGGAGTGGTCCAAGAAATACAAAAAATTTGGTAATAAAAGCGTGCTTTGTACTTTTGGTTGGGCAAACAATATATCTTCGCCTTTTTTGGTTATCTCAGGATTGTATGGAAAAGCCGCATCCTGTTTTAGTACAGTGCTCATAATAAAAAGCTGCCGGACTGTTAGTACTTTACAAGAACTATATAGAAGGTTAGTAGGGTAAAGAAAAGATCGGCCAGTAGACACCTTGAGAATCGCTCTTTGGACTCTTTCAGTGGAAAGCAGTAGAGTCTTATCCGTACCACCCCAAGAGGTAATACAGTAAGTCAATATTGATTGGCACAAGGAGAAATAAACTATGTCTGATTATTTTTGGGTCAGCAATGTAACGTAGCTTTTTAATGTAACACAAATATGAGCTTACGCAATCTATTATTTAAAACGTCCAGATGCCGTTTAAAAGAAAGAGATTCATCTAATAAACATAACATAACATAACATCACGCCTTTTTATCCCCGAAGGGGTAGGCAGAGGTGCAAATTATACCACTGTACAATGTAACACCCACTTTTCACTATTTATGTTATGAGTCCCATGTAATAGGGGGTGAGCCTATTGCCATATACCGGGCACAATTCCAGACTCCGTGCCCGGCAGTCGCACTTACGACCACTCAGCCAACGAGGCAGTCATCTAATATTATACCTAAATATTTTACATTACTACTCTGATTGATAAAAGGGCACATACATTGATCAGGAATGTTGCAGTGATGGGCATACAAGGCTAAGGTAGAAACTGGGTTTTCCTTCCGAATAGCGAATTTGATGAAGTGTGTCTTATCTGTATTTAATGTTAGTGAGTTACACCGAAGCCAATTATTTACAGGATTAAATCCGTGCTGCGCAAGTCTGTAGACCTCAGTTTTCGAGTCAGCAGAAAAAAGTAGAGCGGTGTCGTCAGCGTATGACACGATTGTGCCGTGTTCCAGCTTAAGATTGCATAGATCATTTATGTATATTAGAAACAATGTAGACGATAATATGCTCCCCTGCGGGACACCGTAGGGGGTGTTTTTAACGTCATCGCTGAGTACTTTATCAATTCTTACACACTGACTGCGGTCTTCTAGGTAACTTTGAAAAAATTTAAGCTGCATTCCTCTTATACCTATGATCTCCAGCTTACGCAACAACACAGGAATGCAAAAGCCTTGGCCAGATCCAGGAAGACTCCCAAAGTATGTTTACCCTTATCGAGTTCTTGCGTAATGTAGTTAGTCACGTGGTGTACTGCGTCTGCTGTTGAAATTTTAATCTAAATCCATATTGGTGTTCTAATAGGATTGACCTGTCCTCCAGGTATTTAAGCAGTCTATTATTTACTAGCTTCTCTAATATTTTAGACATAGAAGGCAGTAGTGAGATAGGTCTATAGTTTGTTAGTTGGGATTTACTGCCTGATTTATGTACTGGAACTATGACAGATTTTTTGAGACATGCCGGGAATATGCCGGAAGATAAACACAGTCGAAAAATATAAGTCAAAGGAGGAGTTAGAATGTTTCAAAACTGCTTAATAATTTTACTAGAGATATCATCCCAGCCAGCAGCGCTATCGTCCTTCAGAGTCATAATAATATTTTGTACCTCAGTCTCGTCAGTGTCGAACATCACAAAAGATGCTATGGGTGTGCATTTCTTTGGGGTATTTTGTTGAGGAGGGCCTTGACCCGGGATTTTTTCTGCTAGACTTTTGCCTACATTAGCAAAAAAGTTGTTAGTCACATTAGCGGCCGTGCGCGGTGTCGTATATCCCTCTAGTAAACCCGAGGCTGAGTCACTTTGTTTGACGCGTATGTAATATTTTTAATGCACTTCCATAATTGTCTGCTATTTGAGCCAGCCTTTTCTAGTTTATTTTTATCGAATTGACTTTTGATCTTTTTAAGGAGATCGTTGCAAAAGTTTCGATATCTTTTGTAAGATATTTGTATATCCGTATTGTCTGGATTAGATTTAGCCTTAGTGTGCAGTTTGTCCCTATGTTTCATGCACCTGATTAGTCCACGCTGGTGTGCTCCTGGGTTTTAGTGGGTATTCTTCTTGACGCTTCTCACGGAGAGGCCCACATATTCCTCTCGTCCTACGGCGGGAGAACGAAATATAAGTATTTTACCAGGGTAAATATAGGATTGTTGAGCTCCAACAACGTTACTTACATAGTAAAACACAATAATGGTTTTCTGTGAGGCCTTTCTCCGTGGTATCACTCCGGTTGAGTTGACCCATTCGTATGACGAAGCACGTCATCTCCACTATAACACACACAGTCATAAAAACATAATTTCAAATTGAAATCACATGTTTTTTACTGTTTTAATTAATGTTACGTTCATTTTAACTCTTGGTTTCGATAAAAATGTTCAATATATTTTAGTTGAAATAAGTGTTCAACAATTTTGAAAAAAAATTATAATATTGCCTGTATTTGATTATGTAGACTATAAAAAGGAAATTAATACTACTCACCATACTAAAATATACGTTTGGATGAGTATGTTGGCAAAAAATATTATAAACGTAATAGTTCTACAAACACTTTGTAAGTATCCAGTGCTTTTGAGTTTATCAGTAATTTGATTATTACACAAACATTGAAAATAGATACGAGTCGTCCTGTTTGATAGCCCAATGACTTGACCACCTATTCCACCATCAAAACTGTTCAGAAAATAAATTCAAGGAACGCCTGTAATTACAAAATTGGACCTTATTTGTTCTCTGTTTGTGAAATGTAACCCACATCTATTCCTAAAAGTTTCGGAAGCCAAGAGGAATCCAATACATATAAAATCTATTAATAAATTAGATCCAGTAACATTTAAAACTGCATTAGTAAAGAAAAGTTTTTTTTTGGTACTGCACCGCGCATTCGCAATAAGGAACCAGATGTTATAAAAAAGTATGACTGTATTGAAATTTAAAAAGACGCTAAAAGAACTTTTGCTTGACAAATGCTATTATAATTTTGACGACTTTCTTAATGATGACTTACTGACTTATTGACATATATAATACACCTTTAATATTATGATACCTTTTTTATGGCATAAGCCGGTAAACGAGCAGACTGATCACCTGATGGCAAGCAATCGGCGTCGCCCATGGACACCTGGAACACCAGAAGCGTTAAAAGTGTTACCGGCCTTTTGGAGATTAGGAGTATGACGATCGTTGAGGTTTCAGGGATTGGGGAGATTGGGCAAGGGGAGGGTTATAAGGCCTCAGGTAACCTCACTCACACGATGAAACACAACGCAAGCGTTGCTTTACGTCGGTTTTCTGTGAGGCCGTGATATCACTCCGGTCGAGCCGGCCCATTCGTGCCGAAGCATGGCTCTCCCACACTTAAAACATTAATTTCATATTTCTTGACCTTCAATAATTATATTCATTTAAATTAATTAATTAATTATTGTATATTGTATGTGGTTATATAAGTTAAACTTGTAGATAAATTGATTAGGAAATACTTGTATGTAATTGTACATTATTTGCATGCCATAATGGCAAAATGTGGAGAACCATACAACTTACCCATATAATAAAATCGAAGAAAAGTCAAAACTGTACATTGAATATTTTATATACTTAAAGAATACTTGAAGCGTAATCTAAAATCGATACCGAAGCCAAAAATATGGTTTTTAGAATTTTTGTCTATTTGTCTGTATGTATGTCCTGGATGATCTCAAAAAGTACTGAATGGATTTATTTGAAATTTTGCACGAATATTACTAACAAGTCAGGTCAACATATAGGCTACATACTATCATGCCTACGGGACTGAATCAATTCTGACAACATTTATTACCGTAGAATATCCATTGTTAAAAACTAATTCAAAAGCCTAAATTCTGCCAGAGGTCTAAATTCTACGCCTACGAAGTCACGGGCAACTGCTAGAATAGCCTAGTATATTTTTTTAACCCACATTTGCAACCGAAATAAATAATTTTATTTGATTTGATTTGAATAACGTCGACGTATCTTCTACAGGGTCGCCTTATTTGCTAGTAACAACAGTAAAACAAATTGCCACGCGCAACCCATCGCACTCAGATTTTCGAAGTCAGAAAATTCATACATCAACTAAACCATATTATGACCTACGACGCAAGGATGGGGCTGAACCAACCCAAAAGTACCTACACTACAGATATAAATAAACGTAACAAAACATGGCAGCATTTTAAAAGTTTTTAAGGGATAGCAAAACCAATCAGACATATTTAGTATAACACCTACTTTTCACCTATTGTGTTATGATTTAATAGAAATAAACCCCGAAGTAAATATTTTTTAATGGGATAAAACGATAAACAAGCAAACGGATCACCTGATGGTAAGTAATTGGCGTCGCCCATCCCCACCCCCGACACCAGAGGCGTTATGAGTGCGTTAGCGGCTTTTTGGGGAGATTGGGGTAATTGGGCTTCAGTAACCTCAGTCACATGACGAAACACTATGCAAGCGTTGTTTGACGTTGGTTTTCTGTGTGGCCGTGGTAAAATTCATTCGAAAATATTTCCAGATCATAAGTTTGCGAAGTCGACATTTTAATGGCCTACATTGTCAAAAGTCACCACTTTAATTTGAATTAAATTTTATACGTCAGTCAAACTTATTGTCACAAGCAAAATGCAACGGCTTTGTTGTATAAAAGTACGTTTTAATATGGGTAACATATTTTTAATGACGTCGCCAATTTATATAGCGTAAGATCTGTTTGTCCGAAACGAAAAATTGACTAGAATTAAACTAAATGCTATTTAGAATTGTTCTCGTTTACCTGGGTACCAAACGCCTGAAATAATTCCATTAGCACTCACCACCGCTATCATAATCAGCCGGAAGAAAACCTCCACATTTTTTTTTTTTTTATTAAAAGGTACATATAATACTTTACAATCTAACGTGGTGTAACGTGGTTAGTAATATTATACACAAATAGTAACTAGTCCTTCACTTAGTCCTCCACGTCGAATAACAATAGTATTTATACTCATCTTTATTGCTTTTGTTGTAAAAATTATCAAGTTGGCAAGACGAGCGTATGCTATATCTTATTTATTTCGTATCGTAGCGCTCTGTCCTGGCCGGGCAGACCTTACACGAGACGGCTGTGTCCCCCTGGTAAGTAGAATAATTACGTAGATACATGGCATACGTCCGAGAGACGTATGATTATCCTTTGTGTAACTTTTAAACCTCATTCCCTGTAGTAATAGTTCTTTTTATTTAGCGTTTTTTATATTTTAGGTGATTTTGGTAATCTGTTGCAATGACTGGATGCAGGGCCCTTGATTATAACCAAATTGAAAAAAATATTGGAGAACAGTGAAGATGAGATTGGTCAGTTGATTGAACAGTGAATTGGTTGACGAAGTTCCTGGGTCAACATCGGAAGAATTACAGGTACCATCATCTCCGTCATGTTTACCAAACCAAGATTCAACTTAAAATTTTTGTAACGATTATTATTCCAACTCAACGTATACTGTGTGGGAGAAACAAACATTGCTGGTCTACAATTAAGAGTCAAAATAGAGGAAGAACTACAAATATAAACATATGTAGTGCAAACTTCTAGAGGGCCTACTCGCAAGTGTAAAAATATTTATGAGCCTGCTTTATGTTCTCAATTATTTATAACTGACGAGATTATAATGAAATAGTGCAACGGACCAACGCTAAACTTATGCACCTTGGATGGAGAAAAGATTAGAAGCTAATATTTAAATATTAATAAAACATATGGCCGTGTAAATATCCAAGTTGCAATAGAAAAGTAATACTTTTGATGACAATGAAGAACCAGGAAACAAAAAGAAGAGATATTGTGCGTATTGTCCGTCAAAAATAAGAAGGATGTCAAAAATGATATGTTATAAATGCAATGAAAGCATTTGTGGTGAACACAAAACTGATATATGTAAAGGCTGCTAAATGTGATTGAAACTTAAAACTTGTTGATTTTTTATATGAAGCTCTTAATTTGTTCATATCCTACAATATTAAGGAAAAAAACTGTGATATTAAACTTAAGATTAACACAATTACTCAACAAAGGAAGACTTAATATTTTTTAGTTATTTTGTACACAATTTACAAAATTTTGTTATGTTTTTAAATTATATTTATTATCTTAATGTAATTATTTTTTTATTTGTCGTAGAAAACCCTAAACTAATGATTCAATAACTTTTAAAAAAACGGTTTATAGAAACTTGTCCCATATGCACTTATAAATACGAATACGTCTCAAAGACGTATGATTATCTTTACCGTAGGTCAAAATAAGATTATCTTTCTAGGGTTAATAAAGGAATATGGTTGTTTTTGTCTAAAAATATCATCTTGTCTTTTAAATTCGCAGAAAGGGACCAGAAAAGACAAAACCACGTACTACAGTTGGAATATTTTCGTTATATGAGGAGTGTGATTATTTAGCAAGACCTTGTCTTCATAGTCACAGGTAATAAAGTAATAAGTACTTATAACATTTCATATAATATTGTTTTTGAACATCCTTAAGCTAAGATTAGTTACACGGTATTTGGAGATAGGGGACTAGATTCGGTCTCCAGCAAACTCACTGGCACTGTAAAACACAATAAAGGCGTTCTTTAAACAAGGCTTCCCATTTTGAAATTGGAATAGTAAACAAACTGAGTCCTTATACTAAAGCTTTAATGTGGTAAAAGAATGAGAACAACATCACTCTTGAATCCAATTCCGATCGATCGACATTAGTATTGTGAAATTTCGTACTCTTGAGTTCCAACACTAGCGCCTATTAGGTTAGCGATTACAAACTTGTAATTAGAAATTATAAGCCCAGGGGGGCTAAAAAGGTAACATTGGGTGAATCATTTCTAATATGACAGATTTGATGAATTGTTAGAGAATCACCTAAATCACCATAAAATGGTAACAATAAAATATGAAACATCTTCAATTCATTTCATAACTGAATCATATTAGATGCCGATGTTGCTACATTAGAAATATATAGAGAGAAACCGAACCGTAACTTTACCGGTTTTGTTTATTTTGTGTTTTATTATAACTTGAATTAAAAATTTCGATCCTGAATGTTTTTTAATTACAAGATTGACTCATATTTATCAAGAAACTAGAAAATCCATTAAAATACAGTGTAAAAACTACATACAGTATTTGATTTTGTTTTTCTTATTTCCTTTTTGCTGGCAATGACTCGTGCTCATACGTCACGTCAGTCAGTCACTGTCAGAATAACAGTAAATTTAAACTTCATTTAAACAAACAAATTTGTTAAAAATATTAAACGCTTTAACTTGCACATTATTTCATTGGGAAGTAAGTAACAGTAAATAGAGTTCGAGATGTGAATGGAATTCGAGAAGTAAGTTGATACAAAAAAGGGCTCCTCCCTTACCAAGGCGAAGATTGAACGCTATGGATTTTATCTATTAAGAAATAATACACGTTAAAAGGTAAATAGAATTATTTATTACTAGCTTATTTGTGTACTAATACTAGTCATTAATACCAAGCCAGACACTCAACAACGGCACTACGGGTCAGAGTGTAGCACACCCTTTGCTACACTCTGACCGCACTACGCCCAAAAACATTGTCGGCCTCGGAATACCGTGGAAAGGTGTATCGAAGTACTCAAATCTCGCTGGCGATGCTTAAGTATTGGTTCATCGTAAGATAAACTAAACTACAGCAGGACAAGTGCATTTGCATGTATTTATGTTAACTGAAACAATGACATGTTGTTTTATTGTAACTTACCGTAAACCAGGCAATGATAGTAGCTTTAATATGATAAGTAAGGTAAAATTTGCAACTTAGAAAAATTTTATTTCATTCATCATGTTTCATTTTCAGATGTTCGATTTCTTTTTTTGGACAAACCTGCCACAACCTTCTTAAACCGCTGCAACTCCTGTAAGCCAGGATCTACAGTAGATGACACCAGAACACTGAAGTCCGGCGCGTCCCAGGGACATAATTAACTGTCTTGGATCCTGCTACGAAATCAGATTCTGATTTATCAGAAGATATTATAAGAGGAGAAGAAAAAACAATAGTTTGCACTTCCCTCGGTTACTTTTAGTTAGTGATTATGAAATAAATGTTTTAAAATTAGTGACTTTATTTTATTGCTGTGAATGATATCTCTATCAGTTGAAATATCTCTCCTCTCGCTCTCTTCATGTTCCAAAAGGTTGTACTATGGCTATAGACCTAAAAAACTAAGGCAAATAAAAACAACAAAATTTTCAAATCGTCAGATACGTGCTGACCAAAGTCTATTTATTTATAAGTCCGTTTCGTACTAGAGAATTAGTATTAGTTCTTGCACTCTGTATAGGCGTATCCTGAAACATAATTTTAATCATTAATGTTTACTATATGTCATCATCATCATCAACAGCCTATAAATGCCCGCTGCTGAGCAAAGCCTCTTCTCACCTGGAGAAGGTTTGAGCATTAATCATCACGCTTGCTTACTATATGTACAGGATCACAATTTATAGTTTTATTTTATAACTTCAGTGTAAAACTTGTTGAAAAGACATACTGACAATGAAATAACCCAAGGTATATGAAGATACAACTTGAATCATGCCTATTAGTAATATACGATCCAGAAGCGTTAAGTATTAGTGCACTTAATACCTTAAACAGAAATAAATGCATGAGATATACATCTCTATTATTTTCTTGAAAGAATCTTAAGGGATAATTACAACTTGGTTGTATAGGTAACTACTGTAAGTAATGAATAGTTTGCTGGCTACTTATCTTGCACACAGTACTTATTCCACCACGTCGAGAGGCTAAATACACTTCCAACTCTTGGGATTATTTTGCGACACACGCTATTATTTACGCGAAACAATTCAACATATTCAGGCTCCGGTATTTCAAAAAAAACTTGCATTTCCTGGAGAGTCTCACTTCGCCGACGATATGAAAACCTTTCTAAAACACGTGCATGCTCCAAAAAGTTTTCAGAAAGACCTTAATCTCCCATTTTTCATTAATTTATTAATAATATAAACTAGATGAACTGTGAAATGTTGCCTTTGAGTAACATCTGACAAATCTGCTTATTTGACGTATAGGAATTCACTCTTTGCAAACCATTTTACGAATTTCCTTTGAAAAGTGTCATATTAGAGGAATTGCAAATATGAAACACTTTCAGTTCATATTATGATTCATCAAAATGTTGTCTTTTTAGGACATGACATATGTGACATATTATGATTCAGATATGAAACATACAATGTTACCTTTTTAGCCCCCCAGGTTTCCTCACGATGTTTTCCTTCACCGTTTGTCAGTGGTGTCTAGATAATCTTAGAAAGTACATATAACTCGGAAAAAGTCACATTGGTACTTGCCGTTGGTAGGTTTCGAACCTATACCGTCATGCATGAGAAGGGGGCGTCTTAAACCTCCGGTCCAGCACGACATTACATTGCATCCGCATTGTGTGGATATTTTAATGAACTAAATGGTATTGAGTTTGGCTTTATATTCCATACTTTGAATGCTATTTTATTAGCATTTACAATAGGAGTTGTATAGTTTCGACATTAAATAATTATTGAAATTTTATTGAATTGAAATTGGTTTCAAGAGTTAGTATCCTGATCATGATGCTTGTTCAAGGTCAATTGAAAACTTGAAATATTTATATTGGTACTTTGGATAAAGTTATTTTGAATACAATACCGTAATTATGCTTGTCAATCGGACACCTTAACCTTAACTTAATGCCTTAACCTAAATGTATAATATAGGTATTAACAGACACGTTTCGACCTCAATGCTATTTTGTTTTTAAATATATATATTTGGGCAATTCAATAGTGAATAAAAACTGATTTTTATTTACTTGTTTAATGTAAAATGCATTTTAATTTTTCAGAACAGGCAAACTTTGTGCCAAATCTCAGTATTCAGTATACCAAACCTTTAGAAATTATTGTATGTTAGAATTTGTGAATTGTAGAGAGGGTTACGACAGTAAGTATATTTTTCTTGATTCTTTTCATTTTACAGTTATCTAACAGTTATGAAACAACTGAATTTATTGTATGTTTGTACATTCAGTCAAAAAAGTATCGGGAATGGATGAATTGTTTATGGTTCCTAATTCAAAGGGCATTGACTAAAATTGGTGCCTTTCTTTTTTCTAGCGGCAGTCGATGATTTATGGAAAATATTATCTAGAATGTCATTACAAACGAAATTGTCTATGGGCTCATATATGGAAATCTCAGTCTGGACTGAGTTATGAGCGTTAAAGGAAGCTGGAATCAAACATTTTACTTTCGTTTTTTATTAAAATTATTCATATTTTTGTCACAATTCCTAACTTCAAATTGCGCGCCACTGTACGCCGGGCACAGAAACACCAAATCACACCACAATATATCCATATTGCCAGTCACTAATTTTTATTAGCTATTTTCTCTCAGTCGATAACTTGTAGGATGCTTATAGGAGTTGTGTCATGAAGCTTCATGAGTTTCAGCTGTGGTACCAGTGGTGGGTTGAGTAGTTGTAGCCGTCCAAACATCTAATAAAGTATTTTTTTGCCGTTGACTCCTGGTGGAAGACTCATCTACTTTATAGTTAGCATAATCTTTTGAAGAAAGCAAACCGTCGACTTTGTAAAGTGATGGACTATACGTTAGATGAGCGCATAATTTTTTCACATAATGTGATGATTCGAAATGCATCTCTTTGTGACTGAATGACGATGTCTTTGTACAGAATCTTATGCTAGATGTAGTTTAAAGTATTAACTGTAGTTAGATTAGTTACAAATCGGAAGTAAGTCGGGATAAGTAGACAGAAAAATGTTTTTTTCGTGTTTTGACGACAGTTACTACTCAATCCGCTACCGACGCCGCAGCTGACAAACATAGCATTTCATCATAGGGCTCAATAAAGTATTTTGCGGGTTTTTGACTGAGAGGAAAGTGATCATGAAATCTGTCATAGGCCATAAACCGTATACATATAAATTGAACACGCTAGCCAATCAAACGAAATGTTTTTTTTTCTTCAGCAGTGGTCAGTTAATAGTTCACTCTGTTCTGATTCCGTGGCCTTATAACAAAAAAAAAAAAAAACAAATATAACAAAAATAAAAAAAGTAAATAAGCTTTATTATATTCCTTGATATCACCTATAAACATTTATTACAAAATATTTCCGACAAGTAAATGAAGAAATATGCGTTGTGTACGGTCACCATCAACAAAATCACAGGAGTTTTAAAGCACTATTTTCACATCTTTGAACTGATTTAACTCGGTTCGGACTGTGTTTTTGATATAAGACCCCATACATTTTTTTGTTTGTAATGTTATTCTGCATCAGTTTATCCACATCCGATCAACTGCCGCGAAAAAATGAAAAGGCACCACGCTCCATACAAATTTGGTCATTGTCATTTAGTTTTATTGTAGTTGTTAGATTGGCACAACTGTTTTCCATTTTGGCGTGGAGTTTGAATTGCATCTTTTATTTATATTAAACTAGCTGTTGCCCGCGACTTCGTCCGCGTAGATTAATGACTTCTGACAGAATTAATCAGAATCAATTCAGTGCCCAAGTAAGATTTACCTATTTTGAAATGATTTATCGTAGTTTCAATAAATAAATAATCCCGCAGGGATCTTACCAGTACAGTGCCCGATCACGTAAGGTTTGAGTAATAAAAACTATTCTATCGACTATTGTTGTACCGAATCTCTCTAAAATAAGTTCAGTGGTCAAGAGTTAGAGAGTCCTGGGGCATTGACGCATAGTTCTCGTTCCCGTGGAACATCTGTGATAGAAACTATCAAACGTTACCTAGGTCCCAAATCATCGTTCACCGAATGTAATTCAAAAAGATTCAATGAATCTAAATTCAATGGCTAAGACGATTTATACAAACTCTCATTCCCTATTTTATCCCCTTAGGTGTGGAATTTATAAAAATCCTTTCTAAAGAGATACCTATGTCATCGTAACTTTATGCATGCAAAGTTTCAGTCCTATCAATTTAAAACTGGCAAAGTATCATACAAACTTTCACCCCCTATTTTACCCACTTTGGGGTGAGAATGTTCAAAAACCTTTCTAAGGGGACGTTTACGTCATAATATCCATCTGCACGCCGAATTTTAACCCGATCGATGTCAGAATGACAAAGCTTCATACAAACGTTCATCCCCTACATTACCCCATTGGAGGTGGAAATAATCAAAATCCTTACTTGGGGATGCCTACGTCATAGCATCTACCTGCATGCCGAATTTCATCTGCATCTGTGTAAAACTGACAAAGCTTCATATAAACTTTCACCCCCTATTTTACCCCCTTAGGGTTGGAAATGATCAAAATCCTTTCTTAGCGGATGCCTATGTGATAACATCTATCTGCATGTCAAATTTCAATCCGATCGATTTAAAACTGACAGAGTCCCATACAAACTTTCATCCCCTATTTTACCCCCTTGGGGGTGGAAATTATCAAAATCCTTTCAAAGCGGATGCTTACGTCATAACATCTATCTGTATGCCAAATTTCAACCCGATCGGTTTAAAACAGACAAAGTCTCATACAAACTTTCATCCCCTATTTTACCCCCTTGGGGGTGGAAATTATCAAAATCCTTTCACAGTGGATGCTTACGCCATACCATCTGTCTGTATGCCAAATTTTAGCCCAATCTGTCCAGCGGTTTGGGCTGTGCGTTGATAGATCACTATGTCAGTCAGTCAGTCAGTCAATCACCCTGAATTATATATATATAGATACCACGGAATATAGAATACAATGGAAGTAGCTTGAAACAATATTTCTGCCAGAACCGGTGTCGCCAAACTAATACATTTATAATTTACTCATACTATAAATCAGAAGTTACGATTGGTTAGAAAAAAAATCGGCGTAAAATAAAAAAAAAATATCATACGATATGCAACTTTAAAATCAATGCACTATAAATCAAAATAAAAAAAGTATATTTTGGACTACCAAGTACCGCCATTCGTCGCTAGATGGTGTTTAACAATGCCATCTAGCGACGAAAAGTGGTACTTGGTTTGAACTTTAACGTCGTAAGAATAAAGGTGATATTTGAATGGCTTATCACTGGCTCGAATGCGGGTCTCTACTCAGATAGTGATGTAGCCTAATTCGATAAAAATAATATCGATAATATGAAAATGTGTTTTAAAAATAATGTGAAAAAAAATATTGACTGCGATAGTGTGACAGTATTAAAGTAATAAAATTAATATGTCGTTGATAACTTTTTAAACGTAACAAAAAAGGGTAAGTATTTATTTGCATGTAAATCAAAAACCATTTTGTTCGTATTTTTTATTAGTTTCTTTTTTTAAAAAATCTTTTTTTTTATTTCACATAGGCAATATTATAACTAACAATTATTACATAAATTTTTACAAACTTTATATGGATAATGTGATAAATGAGAGGGATGGCGATAAGGATGACGGTGCTGATCTGCTCCGTGAAGTCTTAGTGAAGGTTGCTTCCAATCACATCGGGGTCACCACTAAAATAATAAAAAAATAATCTAAATAAATGTTACATTACACTTGCATCGATATCAATCGATAAATTCAATATGTGATTTGACCACATCACTATTTGAGTAGCGTAGAACTGGCGAGAATGTTCTATTGAATGGAATAAATCCAAAATAAACTTTATCTTGAAGGCGTAAGGTTGATTTTGACTAACCGTTTTAGTAAATAATATTATTTTAATAACCGTTTTTATAAATTGAAATAAAATAAAATTTCTACAAGAAAGCAATGAAAATTGTACTTACCGATGATACGAAACACCTCCATTTTTACGATTTTTCGGCTGCTATCATTTTTACACGCCAAAACGGAACAAAACGGCATAGTTCAGGAAATATATATTTGTCACGATACTAGCAACTCGACGCGATGTTCGAACGAGACTGAACTCGAATTTGCCTCGAGTAAGCAGTACACTGCTCAGTTGTGGCACGCGTGCCACGCCTACTTGCTACTTACATTGTATTCTATATTCCGTGTTAAATACAGTGCTGGTTTTAATAATATCATATATAGTGTGTATTGCGAATTTCATAATGGACAATAATATCGAACAAAGAGTTTGTGTTAAATTTTGCATCGCAAACGGAATTTCGTGTTCGGAGTCACTGAAAATATTACAGAAGGCTTACGGTGAATCGACTTTATCAAAAACTCGTGCTTATGTGATGGAATATTTGCCTCGCTCTGGTAGGCCGTCAACGTCTGCAACTATAGAATATAGAATAATAGAATATAGAATAATTTATTTAAATGTACTCCACTTACAATATTTTTTTTTTTTTTTAATTACTATATTAAAGTAAAATTATGCTAGACTATTAAGTAGATAATAATAATACATTATCTTATTAACTGAAGTTAACATCGCAAAAGTGAAGGAAATAGTGACTGAAAATCCCCATTCAACTCTGAGAGAGATAGCCGCCGAACTTTCTGTATCTCACGAGTCGATCCGTACCATTTTAACTAATCATTTGGGTATGAAACAGGCTATTCCCAAAAGATCTGAATTTTCTCAAAAAATTCAATCGCATGAAAATCGTTGAGGACATGCTAGAACGAGTCAGTTCGGACCCAACATTCATGAAACGCATTGTTACTGGCGATGAGACGTGGGTTTACGAGTTTGTCATGCAAACTAGTCAACAAGCTTCGAAGTGACGCCTTCCAACTGAACGGAAACCGAAAAACCACGCCAAAGTCGATCAAAAGTCTCAGTCATGTTTACTGTTTTTTTTTACTATCACGTGTTGTGCACTCTGAATTTTTACCTAGGAGGTCTAACGGTAAATAAAGAATATTATTTGAGCGTTATGCGGCCGGATTTGTGGAAAGAAAATTCTTGCATTTTGGACCACGATAATGCGCCTTCGCACAAGGCTATCATTGTGAATGAATTTTTGACCAAACACTCAACAAATACATCCAGCAACCACCACATTCACCAGATATGGCTCCTGCGGGCTTTTTTCTTTTTCCTAAACCCAAATTTCCACTTCGTGGCACCCGTTTTCAATTGATAGAAGACATAAAGGAGAATTGGCGGCGAGAACTGAACTCAATTCCGGAAGCAGCGTTTAAAAATGGTTTTGATGAATGATTATTCGTTGGTGCAAGTGTATCGTTTCTAAAGGAGCATACTTTGAAGGTGATAAATTAATTTGGATGAATAACAGACATTTTGTGTATTATTGATATTTTCCCGGTACTTTCTTGACAGAGTAGCATAGAACCTGATACCATAGCATATTAAGTGGTTGTTTACGTGGAACGAGTGGTTGCGGTAGCGGGCACGGTGGTAGACGGTGGTAGGCGGTGGTTGACGTTGCTAGCTTGTGTCAACGTTGACCGCCAGGCGTTTGCGCAAGCGACGATCGCTAAGTTGCTAAACTGTTGGAATTTACCTGGGGGCGCGAGTGTCTCGCGCGCTCTACCACTAGTTTGACGTGAACACATCTATACGTTTTATCCGTTTTAGGAGTGTAGTCTCTGGCATTATGAACGTAACACTATGTTATATAATTTAATTGTTTCATCAGGTGTTGTTTATTATACGGACATTATAGAATGTAGAACAAACCAAGCGTTTAGGCGTTTTTGACATACATACATAGTGTTGGAAGCAAGTATAACAACACACACATAAGACCCGCTTAGTTTTAAGTCAGTTATTTCCTTTTCTTTTAGTATGGTTTCCTGTTTATATGGGCGCGTGTATAGAAATAGCGACAATAGATGAATACATGCGTAAGTTAATCTATTATATAACGAACAAAATTTGTATTCAACGAATAGCTTGCAAATGGTACTGAATTAATCTTCAAATTAAGTAGAATCTTTCATTTTTTATGGCGTATGCCGTAAACGATCAGACGGATCACCTAATGGTAAGTGATCGGCCGTCGGCGTCGCCCATGGACACTTGGAACACCAGAAGCGTTACAAGTGCGTTACCGGCCTTCTGGGTATTAGGAGTTTCAGGATTGTTGGGGATTCGGGGATTGGGGAGATGGGGGGAGGGAGCTGGGCCTCCTGTAACCTCACTCACACGATGAAACACATCGCAAGCGTTGCTTCACGTCGGTTTTCTGTGAGGCTGTGATATCACTCCGCTCGAGCCGGCTCATTTTTGTTTATCACTGACAGTTCACATACCAATTTTACTTTCTAACTTAAAAATTGCGGAATGATCCATACAAACTTCCATCGCCCATTTACGAAGTGGGGGCTTAGAAGAGATAAGAGATAAATAATTGTCTATATCACTATTCATCCTTACAACTATTATAAAGGTATTTTGTACCCACATTATATTTTTTTTTTTCATTTCAGACTATCCATACAAGGACGATTTTTTCTTAGACAATATGGTCATTAGAGAAATGTGATGGTTAATCTCGACTAGATGATGACGACAAATGCTTACCAACAAGTATAACCCATTTTATAAAAATATCTATACTTATAATAAATCTAAGTATCATAATAATATAAGTTAATGGGCACAAAATTGTAAATTAGGTATCTATTAAGGTTTTAATAAATAATTTTGTATAGAACTTATGGCGCCGACTTTTTACCTATCAGTGGGTGGGTAACCTATCAGTAGGTACTAATATTTTTTTTTCTTTTTTGGTTTTGACTTTGTTTGTTAGTTTTTGGTTTTATGAACACAGTTTTTATTATATTATTTTATCATTTTCAGTGTAAATCTACATACAGTGTAGTTCTAATCAATACAAATTATACAAACACAAATACAAGGTAGTTACTGTATACCGTTGAGGAGTTCCCTAAACAATTACACTTCTTCATCATCAGACCTTTAATGACAGTCCCACTCTATCTAGGTGTAAAGTCCTCATCAATACAAATTAATCAAGCCCAAACACAAGGTAACTAGTTAACACAAACCGCTGAGGAGTTCTCTCGACTGTCTGTCCGTTCCATCATCCATCATGTTTAAAAATCCTAATTGAAAAACATAATAGACGCATTACTCGCCCCTAAAATTTTCGTAAGTTCTCGGGCTCTCGGTTTCCTTAGGATCCCATCATCAGATCCTGACCTCATAGAAATGGGACCATCTCGGGAGTATACCCTTTAAAACTAAACAAGAATTTTGGAAATCAGTTCACAAATGGCGGAGTAATGCGCGAACAAACAAAAAAAATCAGCCGATCATAATCTCCTCCTTTTTTTGGAGTCGGTAAAAAGGGGTGATGTTATGTCATGTATAAAATGTATATAGAGGTATTATAACTTTGTATAGATTTATTGTTTATGTTTACTAACCCAAATGTTTAGTCCCTTCCTGTTGCTAACAACTACCAGAAAGTTAAAGTACGACAGTTCATTAATCAGCCGTCGCTAGTCGACACTGTCAGTAAAGTCGATAACACTGTCTCAGAAACTCAGTTGCCATTCAAGAAAGAAAAAAAACAGGGAAATACCTAATTATGAAATACACGACGTACGAGAGTACAGCGACAAAATCTTATAGAGGTTCGTGCCGAGCATTATAAACCTCGTAGGAGCTTCATAAACAAAAACTTCTGTAACATCTATACATATAATAAATCTGTAGAAAAGTAATTTTTGTACATTGAAGAAATTGACAAAAAAATAGCCAGCGTGTTAAAAGATAACAGAACCCATTTCCATCATTTTTGAAATTTTTGTCTGTTTGTCTGTTTTTTTGTGCGCGCATCACGTAAAACCAGCGAATTCAATGCAGACATTGCTTATATCCAAAATTCTACGCAACTTGAGGTATAACTTAGTTTTTGTTTCATCGAAATCGGTTCACTTATCAGAAGATATGATTAATATAATGAGTTCAAGAAGTAAAATATTACAACACGCAATACAGTATAGTACTCGAAACGTATGTATATTTGGATAACATTTTTATCCTTAATGAAGAAGAGAAACGCTTAAAATAATTAGTGTAGGGTTGGTTATGAAATTAAAGACCCAGTGATGTTGATGATTACCTTTACTTATTGGCAACTTCACTGTTCACTAATATCAATTTACTATTACCTCGTCAAGATAGTTGCAACCCTAAGTGGAGGGTTAAAAGAGACTGCGTGGCTATCGACTTTCAGACCTCCCCTAGCTGGCTAATTCTAAAAGACCGCTAGGCTATTTAACTGGAGTTAGTCATACTTAGGTTCAGAGAAGGCTGCTAGGCTACCAAACTCTGATCCTCTAGCTAGTAAAATGATGATTTGTTCGAAGATAACTCTGCTTATAAAGGCAAAGGGTTTGTATGTGTGCTCAACCTTCATAATAGTCGTTTGTATTTGTGGTTGTTTTGTATAAATTATACTAGGTAGATGGCGCTGTTTGTTCGTTACACTAGTAATATGAACACCGAGAAATTTTAGGTTTATTGACCTATATGAAGCTGAGACTATTAATGGGATCCTAAAAATAAATTACACAAAAATAAAAATGTTGTTAGTGTAAAAATAATTGGTATTATTATAATATTAATTTAAGTAACTATCTTAATTAATTTGTTACATTGAGTTCTAAATAAATAGCCGCGGCAGCTATGGTCTCAATATTCATTTCGAGTACGAGTTGCAGCTATCGAGATTGAACACAGACTGATCGACGATCTACAGACAGGTCAGCTCCGTGCGGACGCATCCGATGACGTGTAGAGGCGTAAAGAATTGTCAGTAGAATATAAAAAAATATTGTTCAATCTAAATACAAATATTTATTCCAAATTGACTCCTGCAGTAAGAGGACTAATGCCGGAATACTGAAACGTTACTCAATTTTAAGTCGTGCTTAAATATCGTGCCATCTCTGTCATTTTACAAAGAATTTGTAGTGACAGAACTAAACTTAAGCTCGACTTAAAATTGAGTAGCGTTTGAGTATTCCGACATTAAGCGTTTGAGTATTCCGACATTAAGCGTTTGAGTATTCCGACATAAGACCTATACATGACTTTAGCATCAAATGTTGGTCGAAACGCTGTATTGTCATTCAATATAACTCGAATAATTTAAGTAGGCATGCGTTAATATGAATTGCACGTTTCACATTGTATATCTTAGTTGCAATAGCGTTAGAACAATTATAAATAGAAAAGATGCCCAAATTCTTTGTGCACTTTTTGCGAGGATTGTCACCAAATGTATAGTAAAAGTGTGCCTTTCATTGGCTTGGGTGCCCTGCATGAGCTTGTGTGCTCTGCATAGGCTGAGTTGAGACTGCCAACTTTCATTTTAGTTCATTTTTATTATGGACCGTTCCATTTTACTTGCAGAAGAAGTAATCAAATTAATTAGTAATCAACGAAATTCATATGCGATAAGAATGTTTTTTATTAGTATCAAAAGATGTGGTGGACGTATGGAGGAAACACAAACAATTAATCAATACTTTTAAGCATGTAAGTACTAACAGTTCGATCATCATGGCAGAAATATCGGGGATACCTAGAATGTTCTCCAGGAGTTGTTGAAAATTAGATACGCCGCTATCTCGGAAATATGGCAGCCAAAAACATTTTTATACAATATCTCTGTTTAGGACCCACTTAGTTTTTTAGTCAAATTTCCGTGGTGCTTGGCGACTGGGCTTCACCCAGTTGTACAGTCTCTTCTTTCTGCCTTTAGGCTTAATTCATTCTGCCTCCTGCAGTAATTCACCGAGGGAAGTAGAAACTATAGTTTTTTCTTCTTCTCCTCTTATAATATCTTCTGATTCACTTCGTTGCGGGAACCAAGACAGTTACTCATGTCCCTGGGACGCGCCGGACTTCAATGTTCCGGTGTTTTCATGGTTGTATCTACTGTAGATCCTGGCTTACAGGAGTTGCAGCGGTTTTGGGAGGTTGTGGCGGGCTTGTCCCATTAGAAAAAAAAAATATCTGTTTCACCTAAAAACCACTTCGTTCTTACTCCTGCACTTCGAGTTAGAGCCCGGAAAACTGTTAAGTCCTCCGTGGCTTCGTATTTGGCAGTCTCCTGCCCAACTGTTTCTGATAAATCGCACATAGGCGAATAATATCTTGGACATATGTCATAGCCATTAGTTTCGAACGAAAATTCTTATAATGAATCTGACAAATTGCATCGCTAATAATTCGGCCAAAATTTTAATCCACGGCGTCTCAGCAGCATTCATTGATAAACCGTTTAAACAATGGTCTCCCACATCTGTCAAGCTTAAAGTTTGTGCAAAATCTCTTATGTAGAGGAGTTTCATAGACCAATATAGGACTGTCACGGGATATACATGAAGAACTTACTTCATCTTACTCTTTTCAGCTCTGTTATTTGTGATTTTGAAGTATAACAAACGAATGAAAACGTAACAAAGAATACAAAATGGTCGTTTTTCGATCAAATATAATTTTGAATTTATGTGAGTATAATTTTGTTTGACTGCCTAGTTGGGCGAGTGATCGCAAGTGCGACTACTGGGCAAGGGGTCTCGGGTTCGATTCCCGGGTCGGGCAAAGTATTACTGGTTTCGCGGTTAACTACTGCAGTGACTTTGTGGACGTCATTGCCCACCTAAAGCAACGTTTTCGTCGGCATACTCTCCACTCCAAAACACTTCACTTTACCTATTAAACACCTATTTTTAACGGACTCCTATTATTTTTTTTTGTCTGTGCCCATCAATTTGATTCGAAAAATTCAATGTTTCAGTTATGTTTAATATCTGCATAAAAAGTGCAATTGGAATGCGTCAAACAAAAAAATGGAATAAACCAACAGATAGGAGTCAAGCACCACCAGTTAAAGACTCAATCGATTTTGTTTCGCCATCAACACTAGGCATGGTCAAACATGCTACAAGGCAGGGTGGTAACAAACACAAGTAAGTAATAAGCAAAATATGTAGTTGATTCCATCTAAACAGAATGTACATGCATAAGACCCGAGTACACATCTCCTCAATAAACTTGACCGCCTTCTAAATAACTGCATTCAATTCGTTTTCAACCTGCGTAAATACGACCATGGCTCTGCATATCGGTTGCAACTAAAGTGGTTGCCCATACGTCAGCGCAAGAAACATCAGGCGTTAACCACTTTATGCTGTCTTCTTAATTCAGCCAATATAATATTGATAATGCATCCTTACTAATAATATTATAAATCGGAAAGTGAGTTTGTTTGTTCCGACTTCACGCCGTAACTACTAAACCGATTGCATTGAATTTTTGCAGACGTAAAGTTACAAAAGTATTGGTATAGATGGCGCTGTATGTATTGGTATATATGTCACATAGGCTACTTTTTATCCTTTTGTGACGCGAGCGAAGCCACGGGTAAAAGCTAGTCTTATATAATTTATATTATACCTATATATACGGATATATGTATGTATTTACAGTTATGCATAATTAAGAATTTATTTCTAAGTATAGATTTATTCTGTGTCACATAAATTGAATTATAATACCTATTACACCTACTGTTGCACATCTCTGCATCACCCCATGGTTGACTGTTAGAGAATGCCACCCGGCATTAAGTCTGCCATCGTATGTTATATACATAAGTATAAATAAATAAAAAATAAACAAGATAAGATATAAGAAACCGATAAAAACACTAAATAACGTTCGAATTTTTTAACCATTTTGGAGGCCGAATCGCCCCCGTCCGTAGGAAGCTCATTAATTAGTTAGGTAATTTTAATTAGGTGAGATTATAGTGGTGAGCTTCGGCCGACGGTCTTATGACCACCGACCGAGCAAAAACGTGGTGCCAACTTGGGTGTCTTCAAGTCCCAAGTGAACAAGTTGCACATAAGTATGCATGCTCCATCGTCGGCCACATCATTGATTACCACCTGCGAGTTGGTGGCAAACATATGTGTCCAACAACGGTCGTCTGCCTATGGCGTAATGTCACCGTACTGCCTGTTTTTTATCACCATCTCAATACCACGGCATGACGATTCGGCGGCTGGGGCGGCAGTGGTAGTTGGCTACTCTGTCTCGCTTTGTTTTTTATTGATACCTGGTTGTTCTTCTATTGTTTACCTAATATATTTTTCTTATTGAAGTAACTACCCGATTAGGTTTTTTATTCTTTAATTTCATTTACTAGCTGTTGCCCGCGACTTCGAATAATGACTTCTGGCAGAATTTAGGCTTTTAATTAGTCTTTTCCAAGGGGCATTCTACGGTATCAAATGTCATCAGTATAGATTCAGTACCTAGGTTATATTTATTGTGAAATTAATTTATTTTTGTCATCATCATCAACAGCTGAAAGAAGTCCACTGCTAGATAAAGGCCTCCTCCTTAGCTCTCCACGTCGAACGACAACTCGCCACCTGCAACCACTAACTCCCCGCAACTCAGGCGATGTCGTCACCGGTCTGTGGTTTCCACTCAAGGACTTTCCTGGCCCAATTGCCGTCAGTCCATCGAGTGACGTGGTCTGCCTATTGCCACTTCAGTCTGTAGATTTTGTGAGCTATGTCGGTAACTCTAGTTCTTTAGCGAATTTCCAAATTTCGGATTTAGTCGCTCAAAGAAACCCATAGCTCTCTCCGTAGTGCGCTGAGCGACTTTGAGCTTCTCGAAAAGGCCGGAGGTCGTCAGTACCATACATTATTACTGGCAATACACACTGGTTGAACATCCTGGTCTTCAAGCACTGCGGGATTGTTGATGATAAGATTTCGCATAACTTCCCGAACGCGACATAGGCCTCGTCTTTCTCTAAGTTGGATATACCTAGCTGGATAAGCTGCCCTAAGTATGTATAATGGTATACAACTTTGAGGATATCGTACCCAACGATGACCGGTACAGGTGCAACATAAATGTTTGACAAGATTTTGGTCTTGTCTATGTTCATTTCCAAGACCCATCTGTATTTTCATGGTTTAAAAAAATTATCAATCCCACAGGGTTTAAACCGTACAGTGCCTTGCCTCGTGATGTTTCAGTGACTAAAACTATTCTCTCTACTATCTCCTTTCCCGGGTTGCAAACCAATTTTTTACTGAATTTCAAAGCAAATAGGTACAGTGATTAAAAAGGTATTTTAACGCGTAGTTCCCATTCTAAAACTATAATTATATCCTTACTCCGATTTAAAACTATCATTGTACTCAATTTCACTCAAACCCACCGGGAGCATCCAAAAAGAAAATTCTTCCTTCATTAAAACGAACACTTTTAATGACACAATTATACGTTGTCACCTGGTCATCAACTAATCTTGGTTCATTTTGTGTGATATACTCATTTAATTCATTTATGTTATATGGTTTTCGCAACGCTACTTCTAACGGGTCCAGAAGCGAATTATTTCCTTTTGCTGCAGGAAGCCCAAAGTCGGTTAGGGATTTATCTGAAATCTCATGAACTTTACCTTCAATTATGATTAGTCCGTCATTGTACTTATCATCATTAGAGGTATATGCTAATGTCATATCCGCCTTCTCATTACGCATTCTGTTTAATATATCTTCACATACAGCATCACGAAATTTATTCCATAACCCTAAGGGGTCAGATGGTTGGCAAAATATAAGGATAGTGGTAAATAATTCTCTTAATTTTGTAGCTGGCTCGAATATGATAGCATCGGACATAGAATTTTGCTAATGTTCATCTTCCTCCAGTAAACCTAATTCCTTACAAGCGCCTTGGTACGTTTGGAAAATAACACCATGTTATTTATCATTGTAATCTTTAAAGATTTTTGTTAAAATTAAGTTTTGTTAAAGACATTTTTATTCACAATGAAGTACTCTTACCAACAACATATTTATTTGAATAAAGATTAATATTATTATGTTGATACAACTTAACAAATTATTTCGACCAAATTAGGTACCGGAGATTAACTCACAAAAACGGTTTTTGTGAGTTAATCGTAAAAGATAGACAAATACTGTCCCGGACTTTTTTTTAATCATTAAAAGAGCTATTATTCTTTAATACATACTTATTATGTATCTTGAACCGTTTTCACAGCGCACGCAACGGAAGGCTTCAAAGATGAAATAATTTCCCCGTTTTTTACACATTTACCACTATATCTTTGCTCCTATTAGTTGTAGCGTGATGTTATATATCCTATAGCCTTCCTCGATAACTGGACTATCCAACACAAAAAGAATTATTCAATTCGAACTAGTAGTTTCGGAGATTAGCGCGTTCAAACAAACAAACAAACAAACTCTTCGGCTTTATAATATTAGTATAGATTTTTCATTTATATATATATAAATGATCATGATGTGACATGATCATGTCCATCCTGGTTTATCTCCTTCCAGCAATACCCATATTGTCAACTATTCCTTGTATTCCGGAGTTTTCCCGTCCTTGTGGCGTAAGGCTTTTGCTCGTCCACTACCTAAGGTTAGTAATCCATCTCTTCCCACTCACTTCCGTCCAATCTCAATCCTTCCCTTCCTGTCTAAGGTGCTTGAAGCTTGTGTCCATAAGCAGCTGCCACGGTTTGTTTATGGAAACAGTTTAATAAGCCCTCTCCAATCAGGTTTTCGACCTGGACACAGCACTGTCTGCTCCCTCCTTAAAGTGACTGGCGATATTAGGGCAGGGATTGAGGACACCAAAGTAACTGTTTTAGTATTAGTTGACTTTTCAAACGCTTTCAATATGGTCAGTCAGTCTCCTTTTGGCCATCCTGTCCCATTTTGCAATCTCTGACAAAACACTGGACTGGTTCTCTTCCTATCTTCGGGGGCGTCAGCAGTCGATCCGGCTTGACGATAATTCTTCAAGTTGGTGTGATCTGCTGGCTGGTGTCCCTCAAGGCGATTCTCTCTCCTCTCTTATTTCAACTTATTAATTTCATTACTTCTGAACATCGGTGCGTATCATCTGTATGCGACGACTTGCATTGTACTGTCAGGCTGCAGTGGATGACTTACCTAGTGCTATCACGGCAGTAAATGGGGATTTGGCTGCTATCTACAACTAGTCACAAAGGTTCGGCATAGAAGTAAATCCAAATAAATGTCAAGCCATAATCATTGGAAGCACACGTACCTGGAAAACAGTCAGTGTCGCATCGCTGTAGCCTGTCTTGTACAATAATGTGGCAATCCCGTTTAGTGAAGATGTGAAGGATCTTGGCTTACATATTGATAACACATTGAGCTGGCGTGCACAGGTCACTAGTGTATGCCAGCAGGTAACTGGATCGTTGCGAGGCTTGTACCGCCTTAGAAACTTCCTTAGGTCTACTACCAAGGCACGGCTCGTGCAAGCCCTGATTTTTCCTATCATCGATTATGCTGATGTGTATTACTAAGACCTGAATGCAGATCTACTCAACAAAATTAATATGTAGTCTATGTATTGCATTTATTTATATATGTATGTATTATATAGTAATTATATCATATTATATGTATGCATATTTGGGATATATATCTATTATATAATTCATTTTAAGACCCAATACCCTTAGTTATGTATTATCGACTATAACAATCATGTCTTCCCTCTTAATTATTTTATTACCTTAACTTCGTTATCTACTTCATACATTCTTTTTACAATTTTGCACCTACCGCTTTAACATTCTGCACCACCCAATGGTCGACTGTCTGAAAATGCCTACGGCATTAAGTCCACCAATTTCACTGTATGTGCAATAAAGTTTTAATAAATAAATAAATAAATAAATATAGAAGATCACAGCTCTTCCCCCGTAGATGATAGCGTGATAATATGTAGCCTATCCGTTGACCCGACTTGTTAGTAATATTGATGCAAAATTTGAAGTAAATTCATGGAGTACTTTTTGAGATCATCCCAAACATAGGCATATACAGACAAACAGACAAAAATTCTAAAAACCGTATTTTCGGCTCCGGTATCGATTGTAGATTAAGCCCCAAGTATTCTTTTTAAAAAATATTCAATGTACACTTTTGACTTTTCTACGATTTTATTATATGTATATAGATAAAATATAGATGTATAGTTTTTATATGTTTTTATTTTATAAATTGCTGTTATTGAATTGATGACAGTCACTTAAGAAGCCAGTAGAATACTACAGCTCAAGGTCGTATTGCCCATATTGGACTAGTCCTATTTCGCCGCAAACATGGGGCATGAACATGTTCATACATGCTCAGGCTCTACTCTCGTCATGTATCAAAATATTATCTTCCCAAAATCTTCTTTGTTTCTTTTTTCTTTTTCTCCGAAGCAATAAGAGAAGTACACGACCTAGTTTTCAATTTAAAATACGTTTAGTGCTGTCGACGGTCTTCGAAGGAATCGTTACCCTGGGAGATGCCTTGTCGCACGAAAACGAATCGCAGCAAATTCGCATCGTAATTTTCTGCGTTGCGAATCCGCATCGCATCGCAGTTTTGTACGAGCCCTAAGATATGGTTAATTTTAGTAGATGTTTAAAGTATGACATCTCCACAGTTACAATAAGTTGGTCATCCTGTCTACCTGTTCTCAATGGATGCATTTCAGACTTTCAGAGTTAATGTAACCGTTTCAGCTATTTTTTTTGTAAAATACAATCGCCTCTTATTCTTAGTCTGATCTAATCTGCTTACAGACAATACATGGAGGGTACAACATCAAAAGTTCCAGGGCGCACCACACCAGAGCACATATCAGTACACGAACCCTGCGACTACTTAGTCATAAACTGTCATAGAGCTTATCAGTACGAGAACAAAACATTTTAATAGGATAGTTTCCTAAATTTTATTTTAATGTTCGTCTGGTACATTAATTTAAAACTTTAGACACGTAATTTTTTTCTCACAAAATTAAATACTTTTGATATATTAATTAAAAAGATCGTATGACGTCACCGTGTGCCACATTTTGTAGCACGTTATGACGTAACGACCTCCCACTCCTAAACTTAGCGCCATTTTATCTAAGTATTGCAACTTAACACGAGGCAATAAAAAATACGTGTCTAATATTTTTTCATTATCTAACTGACGGACTAATTAGATGTTTAATTTTCATACCCTCGCAACTACCCTTCCCTTCAACATCAGGTTCTATAGTCCCCAAAGGAATGGGTAATGTACCTACATAGTACATACTATTAGAATGCATGGTTGAGGTAGTGGCTGGGTAATTGCAATGGCGTTGAATTTCATCGTGTTGGTGAGCTTTTTTTTATAAAATGTTTCTCCAGAATAAGATTTTCTCCTTTGTGTTCGTTTATAAACATATGAATTCCCATACATATAATACCGCTTAGACCGAGAACAACAATTTGTAGAACACAGAAAGTATTGTTTCGTGTGGGAAACCAAACATTCGTGACGTTGCGCAGCAGAAGAAGTTTGGGAGACGGTCGGACCAGATCTTTTCAAGTCAGTAAGAGTCTGACACTCTCTCTCGCCTCACCCAGGCGGGAGAAGTCATTGGATGATTTTACCCCCTCAAAAAAAAAAGATGTATAGTATATACAATGGATAGTGGTTAGTGCCACACACATTGAAATACGTATTGTTCACTTTGTTAAACATCAAGCTAATACAAAAATATACAATCAGGAAAAATCAAAACTATATCATGACACGCTGTATTTGCATACCTTGATACCCACCCGTGTGGTTATAATACATGTTACTCATGTTATAGGACTGGAAAAGTTTGCGGAAAAAGCAGTTATTATCGTACGCGCACCTTCAAAAACTATTGTATGCTGGATTATGCGAATTGCATATTGAGATATGAATGTAATATTTTTTAACTAACTCATATGTGTACTGTTGTTATAAATAAGTAAGATATAAAATAATAATATAATATTCTTTAATAGATTTTCAAATTCTTCATATGGGGGAATGCTATCGATTGCCTTTTCAATCCAGGATTAGATGTAAGTGATTTTTCTAATACTACGTGTAAAATGAACAGCGGCCCTCGTCTTTTTTATATATTTTTTAAAATATACCAAAGAATTGTTTACCAGATTGAACACATAAAATTTTAACCAAAAATTGCGGGTTACTCACGTGATTATACTGAGAAAAGCTCTACTAGTTTCGAATTTAATTGTGCAGCTCAATCCTAAATAGTTACTGTACCAAACGTAAAAATAAGTTTGTCGTGGATCGCCCTCAGTGAACTTTACGCAGTAACTGTAGGGCTGGTTGAAATTAGTTTGAACCAATATTAAAAATCAAAATATGTGAGATTGTGTGTATTTTTTACTCAGTCACATCAAAAGGGCTAAAGGAACCGGGATGAAATTTTGGAACAGAGGTATATATATTACGGTCTGAAGTGTTACACATAGGCTACTTTTTTCCATTGGGAACGCGGGCGTAGCCACTGGCAGAAGCTAGTTTTTGTAATAAATCGAAGTCTGATGACCTTTAAATGAAGAAAACTAATGATCTTCCCGACATATTCTTTTATGGAATAGGAGGCAAACGAGCAGACGGATCACCTGATGGTAAGCAATCAGCGCCGCCCATGGACACTCGCAACACCAGAGGTAAGATTTAATAATATTATTCAATGATTTCATTTGGCTGCTCGTTGGCCGAGTGGTCACAAGCGCGACTACCGGCCAAGGGGTATCAGGTTCGATTCCCGGTCGGGCAAAGTATTACTGGGTTTTTGAAAAAAATCTCAGTTGTAGTAGCACGAAGTCCCGGTATATGGAAATAGGCTCATGGCCTATTACATGGGACTCGTAACATAAATAGTGAAAAATGGGTGTTACTTCTGTGTGCACCTCTGCCTACCCTTTCGGGGATAAAAAGCGTGATGTTATGTTATGATTTTATTCAGGTAGATGGGTGCGGCACCGTTTTATTTTTTGGAAGTTTCACTACGAATGTAACTATGACGACTCTAAAGGCAAGTACCAATGTGAATTTTTCCGAGTTACAAATATTATTAGGTATGTATTTACGTTCCAAGATTATTTAAACTCCACTGACAAACAGTAAGTGAAAATATAGTGAGGAACCATAGGCTTATAGTTTCTAATAATAAGTTGTTAATCGCCAATCCAAACGGACTTGACTGCATGGTTGGTGCGGTGGCTGGGCACCCGGCTGCCGTGCAACGTATCGCGGGTTCGATTCCCGCACGGGACAACACTTTGTGTGATCCACAAATTGTTGTTTCGGGTCTGGGTGTCTTTGTGTATGTGAACTTGTATGTTTGTAAACGCACCCACGACACAGGAGAAAATCCTAGAGTGGGGCAACGTTTTTTTTAAAAAAAAAAAACGGAGCAAACGTAGTCATTAATGCTTCAACCTTCTCCGAGCAAAAAGAAGCTTTTGGTCAGCAGTGGCCACTTAATAGGCTATTCATGATGATGATGATGATCGACAGGATTAAAATGATTGTTTTTTTATTTACTCATTACAGCATATTACCCTCTATCGAATCTGGGGTCTTATGAATTTATAGATAATTTTCCATGGCCACGTGTTTGATTATGTAAAAATAATAATAAAGTATATGAAAAATGAATGTTTTGAATATTTTTTTATTCTTTCTAGACCTGAACATAACGTTAAAGAATATAGGCCGGCACAGACCTAGCTATAACATATATTATCGTAATAAACCCTGGGTAATGGTCCGGAAATTGTTACATGGACGAGGTGGCTGAGTTTTAAAGACCAGAATATGAAAAGTGAATATTTTGGAATTTATTTAAATAAAAAGAAGAGAAAGAAAGAAAAAGATTTATATTAAAAACACAAAACGTATGATCTACCTAGAAACATTTATTCTTTACAAAACAATTTTTATTAACCCTTCGTGTGTCTAAACGTGGATCCACGCGAGACACAATGTATTTTCTATTGTGTCTCATATACGGGCATTCAAGCGGTTAAACTAAATATAAGTATTGGGCAAAAATTAATAACAGCAATAATAATTAAAATAATTAAAGCCAAATACAATCACTGAATACAACTGAAGCGTCTGTCCCGTCCGAGAGCCAAGCGTCAAATGAACCGAATCACGACGACGGGGTCATCTCAACGTCCCGTCAACGTCAACGGCTGGGGACGTCAGCACGCACGATCCAGGCCGATGCCTGCCTCGGCGGATTTAATCGCTGCCTGCTACAGCAGCGAGGGGTTAGAGTAGTCGGCTCCTTGCGGTGCCCGATGTGGTATCAAGTCCGGTGGTTTGCGCCGCAACGAGCCGCGATCTAGCCGGGCAAGCCCAGCTAGCAGCAAGCTGTTGGCGGCGCCTGGTCGTGTCCAGTGGGTGGCGCTGCTAGGAGCCGCGCTCAAGCCGGGGGACAGCCCGGCGAGAGGCAAACTGTTAGCGGCGCGCGGTCGTGTCCGGTGGGGGCGGAGTCTCTACCAATATGTCTAGAGCGGGCGAGTGGGAGACTCACGCGGCATCCGATGGGCCGGTAGGTGCGACCGGATCTGGCGAGAAGCCGAAGCCGTTAGGAGGGCTAGGTCGCGATTCCTCGCGGCGTCAGGCGACGGAGGGCCTCGTTGGCGATTCAGTCCGGACCGGGTGCCTTGGATGGTGGGGCTCGCAGAGACATACGCCGCACCAGGCCAACGGAGAGCACGACTGGGTCCTCTTCGGGGGAGATCGGCTGCTCCAGGTACTGTGCTACCTGAAGCTCGACGACTGCCATGTGCGCACGTTGATGGCTGGATTGAGCTAGAACTGTCTCTCCAGGGAGTCGGCGAAGAGCTCAACTCTGTCCTCGGCTGTAATTGGCCATACTTTAATCATAGTTATATATAGATAATTGTTAATTCTAGCTGTAAGTTTTCTAAATGTAAAAATAAATAAATAAATAAATATCTGCCACCTGAGACCTATGATGGCAGACGGAATGTGGGTAGGAGGGTTTTCTCACTGCCTGCCGAGCGGACTCACTCGTCAAATCGGTCGATGGCTAAAGGTGTCTTGGCCACAGTGAGAGGTGGAACTTCCTCCACCAAGAGGTGGAGGAAGGGTAGTCAGTCAAAGTCGGAATCAACTAGTGACTCTTTTATTTCTTATTCCACATGATCTTATATACTAAACTTATCCCACACATACCACATTATGATTGTGTGCTATGCGTGTAATGTAGCATCTCAGCACTATGTCCTTACGTGAGTACATGATGTTTTTTTTAGTTATATACTCCAAAAATCAAAAGTCAAAAGTCAAAAATCATTTATTTCAATTAGACCAGGAAGGCACTTTTGAACGTCAGCAATAGAAATTCAAAAGTGAAGCTATTTGCTCATTCCAAGGTGTAGATTCCTATGGAGAAGAACGAGCAAGAAACTCCATAGATTACTCTTTTTCAATCAATTTCACAATACAATTCTTCAGTTACACAGTTTTATTGGTTTGATTGTGCGAGAACAATGTAACACCAAAATCTAGCCAAAGAGATCGAAAAAAAAATAACCTTTAAAGACAATAAATAATACAGACTGGAGCTGACCAGTCACAGTTGACGGCGCCCGTTCACGAACATGACACGTACACCAGCACCGCCCAACTCAACCATATTGCAGGGAATCTAGCGACCCAATGCACGTGCCACCGCCAATGAGATCTTTGAGTGAACATGACAACTCCAAGCTGACATAAATGCATTCTTCTAGTCCAATTTAATATTTAGTCAATTACAGGGCTCTCACATTAACAATGATTATGCAAGTTAAACAATATACATTTTAATACTACATACATACATTTTAACTACGTTGTAATATTTAGGTTGAATTTCATTGACACATTAAAGTTTTTTTTATACATAATTTAAACTTCGTTTCATTTAGGTGTTGTATATCGCTTGGTATCTTGTTATAACATTTAACACAGAATCAACGTTTGAAACAACGGCAATAAGCCTACCGGAAAACACTTTGAATGAAAATGAAATCTACAGAGATTTAAATAACCAAATTATTAAGCTGAAAAATGAATTAGCTTGTGCGCACCAAGAAGTAGAAAATCTCTCGTCTGAAAATCTGAAATTAAAATCAGATTTAGACTACAGTCAGAAAATCATAGAAAACTATAAAAAGATTCAGTTTACCCCGACACAAAACATAATACGATCCGCAAGTAAGAGGCAAAAACGCAGATTGGACAGTACAGAGCCAGTCTCAAAACAATTAAAACTTAACTCTACTTCTACGAATCGACAAGACAAAGAGAAAGAAGAGACACACATAAAGAACTCACCTGTGAGGCAACAACCGACACCAAAAAGAAAACTGTGTATTTTAAGTAATAGCAACAACTCAAAAGGCACATTAAACTATATGGAAAACATATTTGCGCCTCATTTCAATTATTGCCACTATCTCTCGCCAAATTGTGAAATTAAAGACCTATTTAGAAATATTAAAAGCAAAGTAGTTAATTTTGACATGCAGGACTACTGCCTGGTTTTCATAGGAGAAAAGGATTTCGCAGCAAATAACAGTTGTTTGGAACTAGTGAACTACATAAAAGAATGTTTAAAAGAGATAACTCATACTAATGTAATATTATGTGTTCCAACTTATAAATTAGGAGCCCCAATATACAACTACAGGGTCGAAATGTTTAATAACTTATTGCGCTTAGATATACTGAACAATGATTATGCATACTTATATGACACAAACCGTAGACTTACTTTGGACATGTTTTCAAACCGTACTGGAAACATTACGAAGTATGGAATAAAACAAATTTACACACACATAATGGAAGAATTTTTAGTTGATTTTGTAATTTATCCATACCAACAGCCCCTAACGATAAATGAGAATAACATTGCCAATACCTCTACACCTTTAGTTGAAGTAGATGGACGAAACCCCAAGTTATTTCTTTTATAAGTATATCAACATAGTGCATCAAAATATAGCTGGCTTATTGAATAAATCTGATGCTTTGTTGGTGCATCTGGAGGCTCTGGAGACAGATGAACGTAGATTTGATGCAATATGCATAACGGAACATTACATGACACCCGCTACCGAAACGTTGTTAAATATCCCGAATTTCCGACTAGCTACTAGCTGCTCTAGATGTAATAAAAGAGGTGGTGCGTGTATTTTGCTGAGATCTGGCCATAGATATTCTGTATTGAACGTTGGCAATTATTGTGTAATGAATGTTATAGAATGTTGTGCGGTGAGGCTGGTTGAACATGAGGTTATATTAATTTGCGTATATAGAGTACCTGGCTCAAATCTAGACATGTTTTATGAAAAGCTGGATCTTATTTTGCGTCATATTAATACTAAAGTAAATTCTAAAGTGATCTTATGTGGAGATTTCAATATTAATATATTAGTAAAAACTCGACCAAGTCTTGACTTTCAATATTATTTAAAGGGTCATAATTTAAAACTGTTATTCAATGAACCCACAAGGCCAATAAGTAAGACATGTCTGGATAACATTGCCCATAATGTCAAGGGCTGCCAAGGGGAAATAATAGATTTCGGTCTTTCAGACCACGCTGCACAAATAATGAAATGCCCAGTAAGGAAAACTTGTATTCTAACATCATGGCATATAAGAAGACGTGTTTACAGTGAGGAAAACATCGAAAAATTTAAAAACTGCATAGGTAACCTGACATTCTCTGAAATTTATTTGACCCAAGACACAAACGAGGCTTATGATAGGTTTATAGATCTTTTTCTGTTTTTTTACAATCTGTGCTTTCCATACACGGTAATCACTAAAAGGTTACAAGTAAGACAGAAATGGATCTCAAAGGGTATTAAAATATGTAGTAAAAGGAAGAGAATATTACTATGGAAATATTACAAAAACCCAACTATTGAGAACAGATGTAATTTTAAAAACTACTCGTCTAGATTTAAAAGAATAATCGCCTTGACCAAAAAATCACAAAACGACTATTATATTAAAAATGCGGATAACAAATCTAAGGCCACGTGGACTGTTATTAATAATCAAAAATTTGACTACCCAAAAGAACCAATAACTGACATTTACTTAGATAATAAAAAAATATCGGATCCAATCTTAATAGCAAACAATTTCAATGAATACTTTATTAATCCCGCACTGCCAACCCGTAATTCAATTGACCAAATGAACTTAGCCAATAACAAATTCCGCATACAGGAAACAAGCACTACGTCTATGTTTATGAACCCTACAATACCACAAGACATTGCAAAGGAAATCAAATGTTTAAGAAACACGCATAGTATGGGGTATGATGAAATATCTACTAAAGTGATAAAGGCTGTAGCCCAATCTATTTCACCTCACCTTAGTTACATATTAAACCTTTCTATAATACAAGGCATCTATCCAGATAAGCTCAAAACTACGATTATAACACCATTACACAAAAAGGGCGATAAAACTATAATGACAAACTATAGGCCAATCGCATTAATCCCAATCATATCAAAAATATTCGAGAAAATAATATACAAAGCATTATATGTATATTTAGAAAAAAATAGAA